TATTCAGAAAACATCTTTTAGTTTGTTCTGTTTGTCTTAGACAAATACTCAATTTCAAGAGAAAGTACAAAGGCTTTTTTTTTTTTTTTTTACAGTTCCTCTTTACAGGTGACTTAAAGATACAGGTTAAATGCTGACCTACATGGTGCAAGGACAATAGGAGCTACAGAATAATGAATATAAATATCACAACCCGATTGGTCAGAAAGGTCTTCACCACCATGTGGTGTAAGATTAAATGAAGATGATGGTGATTTCTGTAGGCAGCCTGCTTTTGACCTTAAGCTCACTTTATAACCCTTTTACCATTCAACTGCAGCAATACGGGTGTATACGGGATAAATGTTGACATTGTGCTGGAGGTGAAAATGGTTGAGGGATTTTTCTGTTCAGGGTGTTCAACATAAATTGATGTCATCTGATAACAGTTGCTGTGCTCAACATGCTAAGCGCTAGTTTCTATCTTAATGTTTGACCTTTTCCCCCTCCCACAGTTTCTGCTTCATATAAGATCACTGTTATATTGACAAGTAATAAAATGACTCAACTACTTACTGCCAGAAATAATTATCATTTGACAGATTTGGAGCTGCCTTACACAAACTACTATGGCTATAACAGTACTCAGCAGTGACTGCACAATTTCATCTTCAAAAACCAAGGATGGCATTTCAGTGAAGTGCACACCATACTGATTCTTTTTCCAAGCCCACTGCAAGTCTGTGGTGCTTTATACTCAGGGATACCAAAGAGCCAAGAGACAGTCTGACAGCAGTCTTGCTTTCGCTGGATTCAATACTTCAATCGTCATATTATTTAAATGGAAACCTGGATTATATTTTTGCAAATGGTGTCATACTCTGACATCTCAATGTCCAGTCATTATGACAGGCCATTAAGCTGTTTTAAAGGCAAACAGGACTGATGTTGTCAATGCTTCAGATTCTTCTTCAGTGCCTTCAAACCTGGGAACTGAATCAAGACCACGTTTGGCTGACAGTTAATAAACATAAATACTGGCTTCTGCCTGCTAAGCAGGTTTAGTATTGGTTCATTGATGTTGCTTGTTGAATGTTAGAATCCAGGCAGTTAACCAGTACTAATCTGCTACACCAACCACATTATCCTCCATGTTCCTGCCCCCAGACTCATGAACCAGAGGGTTCTCAGTGAACGTAGTACAGAAGTCACTACATTTATATTTCACAATTTAAAAGATGCATTAGGTCTGAGTTTTTGTTAAATAGAAATTATTTGATAACCAACCTTATAAACAACCGTTTATGAACCATAAATATCAGCTTGAAGCATTTACATTCATACGAATACCTTAGAAAATAACACAGTAATGAGTTGTAGTCTGTTGCAGATTAATAAAATCAGGTGCTGTTGCAATCAGTGGAGATAAAACTCATGATTATTTGGGCACAAATTGTATAGTGCATAGTATAGGACTCTTCACCATCACAATACAAGCCTGTACTCTAATTCAATATCATTGCAGTTAAACAATAAATCTTTCACTATGATACACACTATACAGAAAATTGAGCAATTGCTTAGTTTATTGGAAGCATAACAAAATGTTGCGCCATTATCCAATGTTATCAAAAAACTTGTGTGATGCATCATAATCCATTTTGCCGTAACTGAGCAGACAACAGTTGTATCTGTATACTCAGACTTAGCGGTTTTATCGAAATTATGGCTACAGACCAAAACTAAAAAAAGAGCTCAACTGCAGTTAATAAAACACAAGAGGAAGAGATGAAAAGCAGGAAAAGGTCTGCGGGTCCCTCTCCAAGCTTGGGAGAATGTTTGTGTTGTTTTGGTTCTTGTCATTGTCACATTAAGGCATAACTTCATCCACCATTGTCATCAGTTCTTTCATTTCAGAAAGAATTTGCACCTTTTATAATTGATGGAGACACGTCCGACACATTTTGCAAACATCTCATAATCTGTTGCAAAAAAGTAGCATTTATATGTCATCAGACATCAGTGTGGGTTATTTCAAGTATAATTTTGAACGGGATCCCATGCTGTTCGTTATAACCTAGCTGAGTAGAATATTACTTACTCTCCTTTTCACATGCTTTTTGTTGGCTGAGGGGCTGTGTAACCTTTAACCTTCATTGGGTGTTGGGGCCAAATCTGAAAGCTAATTTCTTTAGGCAGGCCTTGCATAAACCTTTTTGGTTTCTTTTTGGGTTTGAAAATTGTGATTGGTTTTATTTTGATTGGTTGATTTAGCTTATGCTTCCATTCAAAGGTGCCACATATGTAACTTACTTTGTCTGTTTAAGTGTCCTTTAAGAAACACCTCCTTACTCACTCTGCTGGAAGTTGCCCTGGATGACACCTCTAATCTAGATGTTAACTCCCTGCTTATGCCAACACATTGTTGTTGAGACTGGAATCACCAGGAGCCCAGGGGTGGATGAGGGTGGGGCGCTGGGAAGCAGTGAAAGGTGAACCAGCCTCCACCTTAGTTTCCAAGTGGCCCTGCTGGCTTTGTTTTGGAGCAGAATGAATTATTAATGGTGGCCTTCTGGTCGTGTTTTTTTATCGGTGTCCACCCCCAAAGCACTGAACACTGCGCTCAGACGCGTCCATTGACTGACCTCTTCTGTAGTGACATTAGAACTTGCATAGTCTTCACTTTGCCTCTTTTTATTTTTTGTATTCCTCTCTATCTGACCTCTTTCTGTTTTTTCATTACACAGTTTCTCTGAGTGACCAAACTCACTAACACAGGTGCAGAAGAATATCCTGTCTCCTTGACAATTGAAGAGTCATCCCTCCACATGGCAGGCTTACTTGAAATCCATTTCGTAATCAAATTATATGAAACCATAACATTTTAATTATATCCAGTCCATGTTGAGTTTACATAGTGTAAAGGCTGACTACAGAAGAGGGCAGGTTCAGTGCTGTTTTCCAAGGTAACCCTTTTACATCTACTCCTTATTGGGAGTATCCACTCCTCTGCTTAGCCAGGTTGCCATCTCTCAATCATCTTTATCATCTGCTGGCCCAAGGATGCTCCCCACTAGCCAAAATTCCTAGCAACTCTGTCCTAGGGGCAAGCAAAACTGTGCAAAGCTGTTAAAGAATAAAATATCTAGATGAACCTGGAGCCTAGCTGGATAAGAGAGAGGCTATATTTTATTAGGGTCAGCAGTCCAAGATGGAGGTAGATGCCATCCTGTATACATCTAACAAAGTAGTGAGAATGTGGGTGACTCATGAAACTGTTATGAAATGTGTATTTTGTCATTATTTGCTGATATACTAACATAATGGGGCTAGGTAGATGCTTGGAGACGGAAGAGGAGGAAATAGGACCGTAAAAGGAGAAGGAAGTAAGATGCGGAAGGAGGTGGTGGCGCGTGGAAGGGGGAATTTAGTTAATAGAAAATAGACTGTGAGAGATAAGTAATATGTAAATAGGAAATGTATCCAAATTTACCTCTGGGAGAGAGCCAGTGTGTGAGACAGAATAATGTGGCAGGGAGCCTCAGGTGCAGCTGGGAAGAGGAGGCGGGGCAATGAGTGAGTGGCTAAGGGAGAGAGAGCGAGAAAGGGGGAGGGCTTGTGTGTGTGTGTGTGTGTGTGTGTGTGTGTGTGTGTGTGTGTGTGTGTGTGTGTGTGTGTGTGTGTGTGTGTGTGTGTACGTGTGTGTACGTGTACGTGTGTGTACGTGCGTGCGCGTGCGTGCGCGTGCGTGCAAGTGCAAGCTAGAGAGATTGTGTGGAGAGGGAGGGAGAGAGGCAAGTGTAAGCCAGTCACAGTATCTCTCCTTCTCACTGCACCAGGGCTGAGGGAGACTTCGTCCCTTTGCTTCCCCCGCTGCAGATTTTACTCATTTCCATCAGCGCAGTCATCTTTTTTTTTTTCCTGCTTTTTGCTTGCGTTTGACAGATGCCATCCATCTCTTCTGTATGCCAAGATCTGAGGATTTGTCTGCTAACAACATGGGTTGCCCTGTTTAACGGAATTAAAATGGGGACGTTTGCAGAGGACAGTGCTTAAGACTGGGACTCCAACCGAGACTTGTTCTTTTCTTTATGTTGCTTGAGTGGATTCCCATTTTGTTGCAATGCCGGTTTTTTGTACGAGGCGGCAGACACACTGAGAGAGGAATTAAATACAAAGCTATACTCAGCTTCAATAGTTAATACTTGAACTGACTAATTCTAGGTAGAAAGTCAATGATTGCATTAGGCACTTGAGGAGAAGTTGCTAAACCTCTTCCTATGGATTCTTCAGAAGGTCACAGCAAAAATGCAAATAAGTTGATGGGATAAATAAGTGGATCGCTGAATGATCCTCACACCTCTCTCTGCAAGTGTCTGCCACAGGATTGCTGAGGAGCCAAAGTGAGTGGAGCGCTGAGTTATTCAGCCGGCCCTTATTGCTCCTGGAGAGTCCTTTCACCTGCCTGCACGGAACTCAGACATTCAACGCTTTCATCAACTACTGGACTTTTACATTTGTTTATCTTTGCAAATTGCAGTCCAGAACACTGAGAGGCAAGATTGCACATTTGGATTTAAATTTACATCACTTTAATAGCAGAACTCATCCAGACATTTTGATGCGCCCGGTTGTTACCTCATTCTGCCTGGGGATGCCTTGTAAACACATTTTCCCCCCAGCGCCATGTGTGTTGAGAGAGCTGTGACATTATCTCCTGCGGAGATCCCCTTGTTGTTCTAGCCTGTGTCTGTGTTTTGATTCAGACAATAGCTGGACATTCATGGGTTCCAGACACTGACCAGAGGACCACCAAAATAAGGGAAGCCTGCTGTAAAATAGTAAACACAGGAACACATTGAAACCTTGGATGTAAGAGATGGATGTAATTATACACCGAGAAAGACTCTCCTAAGAACCTTTTTCTCTCCCCAAGAAATAGTTGCTTAATGTATTTTTGAAAGGTAACTGCACACTGTAAATTTTATCTGATGTTTTCCTCTCTCGAATCTTCTGTGCTTTCTGCCCTTGTGAGGACAGTTTCTGCTGTGAGTCTCCCGATGGCAACCCTCATTAAAATCAGGAGATGAGGCCACTGACTGGCAGGCAAAGCAGCTGGGAAACTCACCTTTGGGATAGATGCTGGCCACAGCACTATCGCTACTCTGCCTTAAGTTTACTGAAGGAATACAGATTTATTTCACCTTTCACTCCTGACTGTTACCCACCCACTACCTTCACTAACCATGAGTGATTGGAAAAGGAGAGCTGAATGGGTTGTCCTACTCTTCCATAGCCTTTATTGATTTTCCTCAAGTCAGTGTTTATTTGATTGAGACCCAGCTATGTGAGTGTACGGCGAAAGAGAGAATGAGTGCAACAGAGAGTATTGAGCTCTGTTAACTGAGGGCAGTTGCAGATGCCCAGTAAAGAGCGGGAGGAGGCAGGCAGTTCTCCAGTTTCAGGCCAGCTGCCGTATGGGTGGCACACCACAAACCTGACCCACCTGGATAGCACCCAGAACAATGAACCAGTCTGAACTGACAACGGACCCGGTGCTCACTGCCAACAGCAGCCATGGAGACTTCTTTCATGGACGGGCCTCCAACCACTCTTGTCCCTTGGGCTGGGGGCTAAATGAAGGCCTAGACACTTGCGTCCTGGAGACTGCTGTCATTGTACTTCTGACAGTGCTCATTATTGCAGGGAACCTGACAGTGATCTTTGTGTTCCACTGTGCCCCCCTACTACATCATTACACTACCAGCTACTTCATCCAGACCATGGCGTACGCCGATCTGCTGGTGGGTCTTAGTTGCCTGGTGCCGACCCTGTCTCTGCTCCACTACCCAGCAGGTGTCCAGGAGCCGATCACGTGCCAGGTTTTCAGCTACGTTATTTCTGTGCTGAAGAGTGTTTCGATGGCGTGCTTGGCTTGCATCAGTGTGGACCGCTACTTGGCCATAACAAAACCACTATCTTACAACCAGCTGGTGACACCATGCCGGTTACGAGGCTGCATCACCCTCATCTGTGTCTACTCGAGCCTGGTTTTCCTGCCCTCCTTCTTTGGGTGGGGTAAGCCAGGATATCATGGGGACATTTTTGAGTGGTGTGCTCACTCTTGGCCAACTTCTGCCCTTTTTACAGGCTTTGTAGTGTGCCTACTCTATGCACCTGCTGCACTTGTGGTCTGTTTCACTTATTACCACATATTTCGCATTTGCCAGCAGCACAATAGAGAGATCAGTGAGCGGCGAGCACGCTTTCCAAGCCAGGAGATGGAGGCTGGTGAGGGGGGTGGCAGTGGTGGGCATCAGGGAGGGCATGGACCAGATCGACGCTATGCGATGGTGCTCTTCCGCATCACCAGTGTTTTTTATATGCTTTGGCTGCCATACATCATCTACTTCCTATTAGAGAGCTCCCATGTGCTGGACAGTCCTGCCCTTTCCTTCATCACCACCTGGCTGGCCATTAGCAACAGCTTTTGCAACTGTGTTATCTACAGCCTCTCTAATAGTGTGTTCCGCTTGGGCATGCGTAGACTCTCGCAGACAATTTGCTCTTTCAGCCACTGTGCAGCCGATGACAGGGATTTTGTGGAGCCCAAACCAAGGAAGAGGGCAAACTCCTGCTCCATCTGAAGGAGTGACTTCTACAGGATGAGAACTCTCCTGGACTCTATCAATGGGAAACGTGAATCTTAACAGGCTTAGCAGCTTGTTGTATTTCAGTAAAACTGGCAGATCCTAACTAAACAGAGAATACTATGTTATAACAACCAGTTAACTGACACTTGCATTTGTCACAATAAACTGTGGTTTATTGCATTACCAGCTTTTAAAAGATTTGGGTGTAGTGTCTAAACAGACAGCCTGAGTTAATGAGAGTTTGGCCCCCAGTGATGGGTTTTATTCTATGCTATGTGACATAGGTGTGGATCAGATAGAAAGTAGTCTCCCCATGGCTTTCAAAGCCTTTACATTTGACTATAAGTCATTAACCACCTAATTAGAAGAAAATCTTTAAATTCTATCAGATTCACAAAACAATCCTCAGACATCAAATGTGACTCCCTGTATTTCAACCCTGTGACATTTTGTTAGTGTTTGTCAATCCAATTGACCTTCTACTGGATGTCTCCTCATTTTCTATGTCTGTCATTAGCAGATGCAAGACAACTTACACTTACTTGTGCTCATAAACCTGTTAAAAGATTGTAAATACATATGTGAATTTTTAACTGGATGAACACACAAAGTGACAATGATAACAGCCATTATGCTGCTGATTAATAACTGAGGGTGTATGGCCTTGACTGTTCTAGCAGAAAGTCAACAGTCCTTTTTCTTCTAAGGTATTTTGTATTGGGTCTCTTCACATCACGAGGGTCGGTAGATAGCAGACAGATGCAAGAAACATATTCATTGTGCACTGGTCAGGTATTCTGCCACTACTGATAGAGTCAACAATCGCTTTAGGCCAAGGACTGTAAAACTTTACAGAGGAGTTGTGAAACCTTTAAATCAGTTAAAATCACAAAACTGGACATATTTACAAATCTATACTATGGACAGTCAAGTTTTCATACATTTTAACACATTGCCTACTATAGTAGTGTCACCTGTGTCAGATTTGTCCACAGATGATGTACTGCTTCCATTGTTTACCAATTTAGATATAAGCTGATGGTCGAGGGCCTTGATACAGAGGGGTTAGTGTTGAGGGCAGTGAACTGATGCTCTCGGCAGATAACTACCCAGCACAGTGTTTTTCCCCAAGGGTACCCGCTAGCATAAAATAGCTCATCAGAGCCATGGTTCCCACCATTGGTGTGACATTCCTGATATGGCTGTGTTATGAGTATTCTGCTAACAGTTTGATGCATGAGTGCTCATGACAGCCATTTCAAACCAGTAAATAAATATTGCATCCCTCTTCCCCTGTGTACGGAGGGCCATGTATAGTGGATAGTAAACATAGGACAGAACTGGCAAAATCATGTTATTATTGAACTACTTAGTTCACATGTTTATTTATTTAAATTTGTAATTGGGAAACTTGCCTGTGTCACATACAGATTAAGATAAGAAGCGGCAGTGCTGACCTGACACGGTGTTATCTTTGTCAAGGTTGACGCTGGATTTTATTTCCTAGCAGCAGTGATCAGCGGCTCAGGTTAATGTGACCTGATCTATCTAGAGGTTGCTGTGAGGTTAAAACTTAACTGATCTGAAATTACATGCTTAGTTGTGATAAAGGTTTAAGGCTATCAGTAGCGTTGTGTTGGTTTGTTTTGGTTTGGTGAACGAAGACAGTATTAAGACTGCACTCTTCAGATGGCCAAACCGAACTTGCAGTCTCACTTAAAAATAGGGAAGTTAGGGTTGTTGAAATCTCATTGTCTTTTTTTTAAGACAAGTAACAGATGCCCGTTCTGGGATGAGCCAACTAAAGGTTTTAGGAGTCCTTAACTGTGTTTTTTTGAAGAAGGGGTTTAAACTTAATTCTGCTATAATATAATAAATAGATTTTTTTGTTCCTGTATCTAGGAGACTGTTTCCCAATCATTGATCTTTTGATAGACAATGAGCTGAGGATGTGTGCTGGTGAAGCAACCTCCCAGACTGCCTTTGGTTATGATTCTCACCCTTCGCTGCAGCACAGTACGATAGTCATTCCAGTCAATTTACCTTGTACACATTCCCTCGATCATTGGACCAGTGTCAAAATGTAATTCATTTTGCAAGAATACAGCCACGTACTATAGCCAATGATTTCTCTCTTTGTTTAGTATTCTGTGCTTTAGGCCTTGCTTGTTGTGTATATTTGTCCACGCTAGAGACCAAGTGAGCCTAACCCAGTCCCTTGATATAGTAACTTTTGTACCATTCTTTGCTGCTTAACAGTCCCCGGTGTAAGTCACTTTAAAGCTGCATTAAGTGATTTCTTTGACCACTAGGGGCAGAAAGACTCTGAGCCTTTGGCTTATTATATTTAAGTCACATCTTAGCAAGCAGTTTTTAATTGACACACCCAGCAGCAACAGATCTACATGAGCATTCCAGTAGAGTCTTTCTGGCCACCTTATGAATGTAAGTAAATGTTATTTTAAGCCAACCATCTTTTGGGTTACTCACATGCTCTACTTTCTTCACCAGCTACTTGTTTACTTTAGCTCTTTGCTACTGTGCATGAGATTTGTAACGTGCAGGCAACTTGAAATAGTTATGTGCTGGTAGTGGCTGCCCATGGTTTCTACTGTATGTGCCAGCATTGGTTTGGTTTTGTTGGTTCAAACAACTGAGGTGACCAAATCGTTGAGGTAAAAGCAGCTGTGTAAAGGGGTCTTGAGTCTCAGAGAGATCATCAGCATTCATTACCCTTTAACATAATCAGGAATTATTTGATTCATTGTTAATATAAAAAAGTTTTGCTTTATGCAGCTTTAATGCAGTACAGATTGTTCTGTATTCGTGCCTAAATATGTATTTTGTAAGAAAAGTGAAAAAAAAAAGATATTGAGAAGTAATTACTGTTACATGGACATGCTGCACTTTTTAAAAAACTTTTTCCAACTACATGAACATACTTTGTAAATATTTAGGTTTATCAAGGTACCTATGATTTACTTTTCCATGACTTCGAGATAGGGTTTCCACTTAAACCAATAATATTTCAAGTCATTCATCTATAACTGACTTATATGTTCAAGTGGGTTCATGTTCTATTATCTGACATCTATATCATATCTGTAAGATACGAGGAGACACCAGATTTGTCTGAGTCTTGTGATTTCCCTTTTTTACCTATATGACGTGAGGAATAACAGTAGGAAAACACAGCCTAGCCATGTCAAATTTGTGATTTTATTTTATTTTCATTTTGATAGCTCAAGTTTTTGGTGCTCCTTTGGAGTATAGTGCCGTGAGGTAGTAGATGAGGTTCATAGGGTCTAAATTAGTGCTGTATTATCTTTACAGTCTGGTGACAAACAACAACACAACACTATATATGATGGGAAACAAAATTCTGTGATGACCTTAAATAAAATAGCTTTGTTGTTACCATATAATGTGCAAGTTGGAATATTCTATTAAAGTGGAGGTTACAGTATTTGGTCAGATGTTGCACAAATATTCATTCCTTTTTAGGAATTTTATTTTGTAGCAGGTTATTTAATGTATGTGTCTTGGTTCAGGGTTTCAAAAATCCAAAATCCATTAATTGAGTATTTAAAAAAAAAAGAGTTAATATGTGTCTGTATTACACTGACAAAACTGACGTGTTTAAAAACTTAAAACTGTTCAAACAAGTTGT